TTTTTCTTTTTTGTCTCTTTATGTTTTTTTAATTTTTTATAGGTTTTATAGCTTGGTGACAATCGGGTTAAGAAAAAACATATTATGTCTTATCTTTTTAACCTATTTGAACTTGTTTGAAAATGTTATGCAATCTCTGTAGCTATTATATTTCATATATTATTATTTGAATAATATATATTGACTGTATTTCTGATGGTACAGCTCGTCGGTCCGGTCGCAGACGGGTACGGACCACATTCACCGTGAGCCAGCTGGAGGAGCTGGAGAGAGTTTTTCAGGAAACACACTATCCTGACGTTCACACCAGAGACCAGCTCGGCTGTCGAACGCAGCTGTCTGAGGGAAGAGTACAGGTACTAGACGCTGTCTGCTGAAAACACACTACTTCAAGTCTGAATTGAAACGGAATAATCTTGTTTTAGATAACCAGGACATTAGTAAATGGGCAGTTCTTTGCAACATTAAGATTTTAGTATGCCGGGATGTAAGGAAAAACTGAATAATTCATGTGCTGTAACTAAACACAAACTATTCTTTATTTTAATCATCTATTAGCTTTTTGGATTTGTGATTAATGAATTTATATAAAGGAAGAAAATATTGAAATATTGAGGTGATTAAAATAAAAGAAGCAAATATAAATGTGTTCTCTCTCTCTTTCTATATATATATAACTTTTTAAATACAATAGTATAATATATTATATTTAATATTTTTGTGTAATATAATATAGCAATATTTGTACCTTTATAATACCTTAATATACTATATATATGTGTGTGTGTGTGTGTGTGATTATTAATATTGCTATTATTATTATATTTATTTATTTATTTTTGCAGTTTAATGAAAGTTTTATATCATATTTTTGTGTCATGTTTGTTTAGATCTGGTTCTGTTCCGGTAAATACTTTCAATCATCTCCATCACAAACTGTGTGCTGAGATCTTAGAACCAAATGACTGGACTAATGTTCCCAAAAATACTGTAAAGAAAAAGCAATATGATAGCATATAAATGTTTCAATTTTTTAATTAATTAATTGTTTTTCCAATCTTGATTAGCTGATGAAACTAAACACAAATTGCTTTTTTTTTTATTTATTAATTTATATAAAGGTACAAATATTGACAAGTAACAATGTAATCTAATGTAATATAATATAATATAATCAATATTTGTACCTTTATACAATACATATGTGTTTGTTTGTGTGTGTGTGTGTGTGTGTGTGTGTGTGTGTGTATATATATTTATGACCCTGGACCACAAAACCAGTCATAAGGGTCAATTTTTTGAAATTGAGATTTATACATCATCTGAAAGCTGAATAATTAAGCTTTCCATTGATGTATGGTTTGTTAGAACAGGACAATATTTGGCCGAGATACAACTATTAGAAAATCTGGAATCTGAGGGTGCAAAAAAAATCAAAATATTGAGAAAATCGCCTTTAAAGTTGTCCAAATGAAGTTCTTAGCAATGCATATTACTAATCAAAAATTAAGTTTTGATATATTTACAGTAAGAAATTTACAAAATATCTTCATGGAACATGATCTTTACTTAATATTCTAATGATTTTTGGCATAAAAGAAAAATCGATAATTTTGACCCATACAATGTTTTTTTTGGCTATTGCTACAAATATACCCCAGCGACTTAAGACTGCTTTTTGTGCTCCAGGGTCACATATACATACAATTTAAGCAAGAATTTTGTATTTGCTGCGCTTTGACGCTTAAAAACTATTTCCGCAAAAAAACAAGCAATTCAGAGCAATATATACAGATGTATTGCTACTTCCGTTTCATCGCAGTTTTAAGCAAAATATGAATTTGCAAGTGTCTGAATTTAAATATCCTGTTTCGGATTGGCTGTTTTCAATTGCAGTACCTGAGCTTTCAGCAGAAGTTCTGGCTGCCGGAGTCAGTCTGTCCTCCTGTTGGTTCTCCTGAACATGCCACACTTCAACACCGTTCATTCTTCTGACCTCATCGCTTTCATGGGCCACTACAACAGAGACATTTTCAACTTCAGTCTAATGAAGATCGAGGATCGACTCTGGAATAAAAGGACATATCATGTCTTGTATTATATCGATAACAGCTTTTCCGCACTGGTGTATATAAACATGACTGTATCATGTGTTTTATATTTAAGAATTGCCTTATTTTTATTTTAAAACAGAAATCATACGTGAAGTGACGAACGTGTGGCAAGCAATAAATCAATTTCCTTATCCCATCACAATAAATCTCTGATAAAACCACTAAGTAAATAATATCAGTTGTGACACAGCACTCACCGACTGAACTGATGGATTCCCAGAATCATACAAGACAAATGATGAAATATCATTTCCAGTCCTTAGAAGATGACCATGTTTTCATCTTGAGAAAAGAGCAAAAGAGAAAATTCAGGCTCGCAAATGAATCTATGTATTTTCTGACAAATCTATAATTTAACTTCACATCCAGTGGCATGACATTGTAGCTTATGCATGTGTCTAGGGTTAATTAAACAACCTAGATATGCATTTAACTAATTGTTTAGAACAAGCGTTCTATTAAGCGGCATCATGATGTTATTGCCGCCCTCCAAGAGATGAACTTGTAAACTTGAATGGATATGGTGCCATAAATGAATTTTGTTGTCGAAATTTCTAATTATCACTGAATTGGTTTATTGGCTCTTAAGCCATAAAGTTCGGTCTTATCTTAATTTGACTGAGTTCACAGGAAGGTCAGGACGGGTAGAGAGGGCAAACGCAAGGGTGACTGCATGTTGAATGCTGAAGGAAAACAGACGACAGATAACAGCAAAAATCAAACCCTAGTCTCGAGTTATCCGAGGGCAACGGGGCTGATTCATGAAATAAATGAATGACATGACAACTATTATGTGACAACATGCCCCGGTCTCCTGCATTGTCTGATAACTTGTCAAACTGTTCTGAAGAATCATTTGGTCTCGTGTAAAATTTGTATTTATTTATTTTTTTTGTATATCAACTCATTTTTGACACATGAATCCAAAATGTCACAGAACAGTGAACTCCAAAAATGGTAAAATAAACAAAACTTCTTATCGGACTTTGTGATGGATGTCATTTGTGTGTGATCATTTATGACATGCTGATTCAAAGTGACTTTGCACTAAATGGTGAACATGAAAATTTATCCGAGCTAGAACATTTTCTGAATATACAAATTGTACACATGTATTTTTATTATGTGAAATTTGAGGGACTCTGATTGTAAAGATGACATTTATCACAGTAAATCAACAAAGTTATGTCAGAACTAGCTCTTACTATTTATGCCATAGAAAGATAAGGTCAAAGTAGTCAAGTGACTCAAGAGTAGAAAAAAGGTTCGTTCAGAAGTGATTCTTTGATTCTTTTAAATCACGAGGTCCCTGACATCATGATTTGGTCAATTACGCGATGGCATTGACGAGTTAAGTCGTTTTAATAAAGGCATTTATTGTCATTTATTGTGTGGCAGTTCACTTTATTTCAGCAATGATTCAGCACATTTAAGTCCTCGGTTCACTCCAAATGCTTCATCGCTTCTTGGCTCATTACGAATCGAACGAGTCCGTTCTTGCTTCAGTGAGTCAGTTGTTCACTCAAAAGATACAGTTCAATTCGTGATCGAATCTTTCATATTGGTTCTTTGAACCGGATCAAACAATTCATAGATTAGTATTTTATTTTGAGAATCTCCTAAAGTACTTTTTTTTTTTTTTGTAAATAGAAAAAAATTACTTACAATTTAAAATTTAGTTTGCAGAAGCTGATGTTATGTTAAGGTTTCTCATGGGATGGTGAATAAAATGTAGCATTTATGATTTAATTATTATAATTGCTTGTTATTATAGGCCTATTCATAAAGTCTATCTATCTTTGAACGATTGAAAAATTACATTAAAATGTATTTGGAAACAATATCTAAAAGTAAAAACTTGAAAGCAATGCGAATTATGCAGCTGTTTAATGTGAACAATGATTTGTTTCGGTTTGTAAAATTTGCTGGGATCTCCAAAAACAAAAACACTGAAAAGATCCGACTCGAAAGAATGATTCATTTGCGAATCGGTCGTTGAAGTATAATACATAATGGCGAAAAGAGACTGTTTTATTTTTAAAGCGGCTTTGGTTCAACGCCATTTTTATGATAATGTGTTATAATAAAATGCTCACGTTAACAACGGAAAAAATAGTCCCAATAATGGCCCTAGAAATACTGATTCATGTGTTGTGCACCTTCACACACTCGTGTTTATTTTACTGCTTGTGGCCTTACCTTGACATCATTACTCTTCCAAATGCTCAACCTTTCACCTTCGTGTTTATCTGTGTTTACAGCCTCTAAGCAATGAAGTGCAACCCTACTATCTCGCTCTTATCAGCGCGCCCTTCTGACTACGGCAGAAAATCCGGGATTTAATTGGTCAATAGGTGGGCATTAATCAATATTTGCCGAGATACGCTAATGTTGGATCAGGGATTTCCGTGGAGCAAAAAACGCAAATATGGTGAACTGTACGTGAGCAAATATGTGAATGCGTATAATAGCCTATAATTAATGTGCAGTATTGTTTTGCAAATATTATCAGTATTCAGTGCACTTCTGCCCTCTTGTGGTATTTTTAGCGAATCACTCCTCAAACAGACTGAAATATTGTTTAAATCAAACCAAATGACCTATTGTTGATTATAAGTGTATAGCCTATAATAGCTATGACAAACGAGTAAGTCATAAATAATGAATAAATGCGAACAAATAAATAATCCTACGGCAAACTCATGAATATTAATGACGTAATGTGACGTTCCCCTACTTGATAGGCTGAAAGGCGCGCATTAATATGCGGGCCCTGACGATCTCACTGCTTATGAATATTAAGTAGGAAGGTTACTAAGCAACGGCGGCGCTACTTCATTCATATGTATGAGCACGGTCTTCGGGAAGGGCTGCAGCAAGATGCGCTGACGTCACAGCAGGAGGAGAGCCGAAGTGAGTTGGGCCACATTTCTCCATCCTAGTGATGATGGCGTCCCAACACCCATGATCAAGCAGAAAAAGAAGAGGAGGAGAGAAAGAAAGCGAGGCCCTTTTCAGCTCGAAATGAGTTCGGACTTCAATTCATTCGTCTTTTGTTGTTAATATGTCTGGATCATTCACTTTGTATTGGAGGTTCGGGTAAGGTGCAGGTGCCTCCATCCATCCGTTCATCCATCCATCCAGCGCAGTGGAGGGGACGGGCCGGGCCGATGGCTGCTGGGGGAGGTGGAGGAGGATGCGGGGAGTCGGTGGATCATTACCGGGCGGAGGTGGAGCGGCTGACGCGCGAGCTCGCGGAGGCGAACCGGGAGAAGGTCCGGGCGGCGGAGTGCGGGCTGGTGGTCCTGGAGGAGAACCAGACCCTCAAGCAGCAGTATGCGGAGCTCGAGGCCGATCAGGAGACCCTCAGACAGGAGCTGGAGCAGCTGCAGGAGGTACAGGTCATTCTCCTCTTATAATCACTGACGCTCCTTTTGAAACAAAGGCCTACTGTGGTTTTATGTTATAGGACAGAATAGAATTAAATGGAAAACAACTGAAAACAACAAAGTAGAATAAGAGTGTTGCCAACAATCTGGTCATGTCTTGTTGTTATGGAATAGAATATTGCCAAGAAATATGTTTCGTTATGTTATGTTATGGAAAAAAAATAGAATACAATAGAATTTAATGTTGGCAAAAATCTGGTCATGTCCTGTCATGTTATGGTATAGATCATTGCCAAGATATGTTATAATATGATGTGTTATGGGAAATAATAGAATACAATAGAATAGACTATTGCAAAAAAAAAAATATCTGCTTATCAAAAAGAGTAGAATACAATAAAATATTGCAAAAATCTGTTCATGTCATGTTATGTTTGGATTAGAATATTGTCATAAAAATACACAACTATTGGGTAAAATATTTCATTTTTATTCAGGTCGAACTACATTTTATTGGTTCTTTTTGGTATCGAATGAATTATAAGTAAATTGTAAGTATGTTTTGAAATTTAGAATCAGTATTTCTAACCCTTTTATCCACTATATTGGATAGATAGTTCTATATTCTAGCATTGCTTATGTATACACACACACACACACACACACACACACACACACACACACATACACATACACACACAC